TTTGCCTGTTCCAAGGAGGCCGTCTGTGAACTCTCTGCCTGTTCTGTTCCGGCCAAGGAGGTCGTCTGTGTCGTCTGTGAATGTGATGCTCCTGCCGGGGCTTTTATCAAAGCCATCAAGAGTCACATTGGCCACTCTGCCTCTGGCAAATGTACTCAAACTGGCTTGTATCTCAAGCACCGAATGACCTTTATTGAAATGAACGCCCCACTTAGGACAGACCTCTCTTTCCGACAGATGCTAGATGAAGACTATCATGTTGCAACATCTCCTCTAATGGAAACAAACATTGACATGGTTGGTGGTTTTCCGCATGACTACATGCACCTGGTTTGTCTTGGGGTGATGCGGAGACTTTTAGATTTTTGGGTGAGTTCAGGGCCGCTCTGCGTTCGTTTATCTTCCCGGCTGTGTCAGGTAATCTCAGATTCTCTTGAAGGGTTGAGATTTTACATTCCTTCTGACTTTGCACGTAAACCAAGACCACTAGCCCATAGACTGAGGTGGAAAGCTACAGAACTCAGGCAGTTCTTGTTATACACTGGTCCAGTGGTCCTTTGTAATGTACTGCCCTCACCAGTGTACAGTCATTTTATGCTTTTATCAGTTGCAATTCATATTCTTCTCAGTCGGAAATTCTGCTTTGTGTTTAATGACTTTGCTCACACATGTCTAGTGTCTTTTGTTGAACATTTCAGTGTGTTATATGGGCAGGAATTTGTGTGTTACAATGTGCATGGATTAGTGCACCTCTCTGAGGATGTAAAGCAGCATGGGAATTTAGATGAATTTTCTGCTTTTCCATTTGAAAATTATTTGGGCTCTCTTAAAAAGCTTGTGAGAAGACCTTGCAATCCTTTGGCTTAAGTCATTCGGCGACTTTCAGAAATAAATGCCCAGGGCAATACAGTACAGGAGTGCATCAATAGCCTCAGACGTGAACACAACGATGGCCCTGTTCCACTGATGTTTTCAAAATCAGTTCATCAGTTTCATGAGGTCATACTTGGTGGTTTGGTAATCAAAACAACAGATGGAGACAATTGTGTGAAAATACAGAACTGTGTTGCTATTGTTGTGAACATTATTTTAAGTGGAGGAAAGACATTTTTGGTATACAAGGAGTATAGACATAGAAGCTCTTTTTTTGATTATCCAATGAATTCATGTGACTTGGGAATTTTTGTTGTGAGGGAACTCTCTGAAGACTTGCACATCTCAGAGTTTGATGGCAATATTGAGAAGTATGTTAGGTTGCCTCTCCGAGACGGTTTTGTTGTTTTACCATTACTACACACTGCACAGACTGCAGAAGATTAAATGTGGAGTATGTGGTGATAAACCGGTAGAAACTCTGATGTTGGTAAGTATGTTTCCAAATGATGTTTTTATTTATTTCCACAGTGCCAGTTCATTCAAGTGTCTCCAACCAATAAAACCTGTTGTTATTTCAAGAAAAGGTGCAGTGGAGTTTGGAGGACATTTTCAAGAAAAAAGTAAGTGCAAACTGTGCTTGGGGGTGTTTTGGGGGTCGGGGCGGAGAGAGAGAGAAATTGCAAGCTCATAGACTGGAGTGGTCGAAGTGTGTTCGACCAAAGTCCCTTTCTTGGTTCGATTTGAAGCAGCAGAACGCGGACCGATCGCTGTATGACATCACAAGCTTTCGAATCACTCTCGCGGTACTGTGATGTCATAAAATTATCAGTCTGTGCGGCGCTGCTTCAAATCAAATACACCTCATCTCACAGCCGGTCCGTTTTGACGGCACACTTACGCTCACATCCGCATGTAAACATGTCGTCGGCGTGGAAGTTCTTATTGGACAACTTTGGAATACATCACATCCGGTCGGCGTGTCGCATACAGTGTAGTCGCTCAAGTTCAAATATTTGAACGCATCCGAAGCTCAAATCGGATCCGAAAATTCCGCATTCGCAGATGGTCAGCACCGCATGCAACCCCTGTACGACTCTCCATTGGAAATGAATGACTTCCGGTCCAACGGCTGTCGTTTGTCGTGTGCAGTGGAAAGGTGGCTTTACGCTCACATCCGCACGTAAACATGTCGTCGGCGTGGAAGTTCTTCATTGTGAGTGAAGCAGACACAAAGTTCGCAATGTGTAATACGATATTGACTGTTTTTGCTCAAGTTCGCTGACGAAGTTTTAATCAAAGCCACAGCAGAAGTGTTGTGTCTCCCAGCAACACACAGCGGTGTTTGAACGAATCAAGTGATTCAATGATTCAGTAACACTTTCATAAAGACAGATGCCTCGATTCTGAATGAATCAGCCATTTGAATTAATGACTAATGACTCGCTCATTAAAACAGTAATTTACTGTCATCTACTGGTGGTTTGGTTTCATAATTAAACGTATTGCGTTTTCCCAACATTTTTAACTTGTATGTTCAAAAATATTTAAAATATTACTCTTAAAAAAAAATATTTATGCATTTGAAATTTTGTGGTGTAATGGCACCTCAGCTTCATTAAACAGTCTGTGTAAACACATCTAATGCCACTTCAGATGCAGCTTCTGTGTTTCCTGCAGTGAAAAGGTGGAGTTTGTTGATAGTATGCGCACTCTAACGTGAACATTAAAATTTGCAAAAATAAATTACTCCACCATACCCCCAGACCCCCTACAAGGTTTATATTACGAACTATGTCACCTTGTGAGTTTGCAGGTACGTTACTAACACTAGTCTACTAAACAGCTCTTATAAAAGATGTATTTAAAATACATAATCTGTGATTTAAACAAATGTGTTACTGAAAAAGAGTAGGATTAGGGTTGACCCCAACTCGTCTGGAACATTCCTATTCCAAACCTGAATGCCTTTCGTCTGGGAGCTCAAATGAAAATATTTTGAAGAATATAAATAATATATAATAACTCATGTTCTTTTTTCTTCTTTTTTTATTGTGTGTGTTCATTAGGCATGTAAACATATTGTTTCATTTGTGGAGACTAATGAGGTGGAAGTGGTGCCTAGTAGCTGGGTACATGATGAGCAGTGCGTCTGGCCAAATCTGAAAGGAGAGAGCCTCACGAAGGCAGTGAAACTGGCAATGAAACCCAGAAAAGACTGGAAAAAATTTAGAGTTAAGCTTCTCTACACAACAGGTACTGTAATTCTTTCATGATTAACACCAACAAATTTATGTGATGCATAATATTTAAAGGGGTCATGAACTGCTTTTAAAAAAAAAATGGTATTATGTTCTCTGATGTCCATTTAAAATGTTAGCAAGCGCTGCATCACTAAAGATAGGCGCCTATATTTTTGACGGATAATAATAATAATAATCGTCTTGCTGTCGTCAAAGAAATCAGCAACAGGCGATATCTCTGACTATCGTAGATACACGATACTATCATCTACCGGCACAACACTAAATTAAAGGTTGTGATGACTATTCATTTCCTTACCATAATGTATTCTCTTGAAAATTCTTTATTGTCAAATGTGTGTTGAATGTAAACTCCTATTAGGAATTTAACCATTACATGTGAATTTATCTGAGAATATTCTTAAATAAGGAAATCTATTCAGTGATTGGTCCATGCGTATTCCGTCATCCAAAATCCCGTTTGTGGCACAGCTCAACTCTAAGATTGACACTTAAGATTTATTCCTACACTTCGCTTAAATTATGACTGAGATGCTTGATAACTAACTTGTAAGCACAGCTTTGAGTAGGGGTGCTCCGATTGATCGGCTACTGATCAATATCAGCCGATAATCACTTTGGGATGATTGATCGGCGGTCTCTAAAAAGGCAGATCTAAAAAAAAACGATCTCAAGCTGATGACGCTGCCGTGAGAGGTTTGGCATGACATGCAGCGGCACGGTCTCAGTCTCTGTCCGTGAGTGAATCACTGCGCACGCTCTCACTCTTTCTCTCTCAAAAATGTGCAAATGGCTTCAAATCACCACACATCGCGTCTGCACTATAAGCGAGCTGCACACTGCACAGTTGACACAGGAATTGTCACTTGCACAATCGAGGCAGTGTTGCATCGTCACTAAAGTTTATAAATTGCATTACTTTTAAATTCTTGCCAGTGTTTAACCATTCAGCGCTCACGCTATCCTGGAGACCGTGCGCTCATGCACACTCGCAGCGCACACACACAACGCCAGGTTCACATTACTCCATTTGCAGTGTGTATGCGGTGCATATTTTTTCTGCGCTCATGTTAACGGATTAAAGCGTTTACACTGCACATGGTTGTGGTATGTCAGTGTGTTCCAGGAGCGGTGTGTCTGCAGCAGTGCAGAGATCGATTCCACTGAATGCGTTGAATTAAAGTAACAGCGCATTGTTTGCGGTAAATATGAACATGGATTGACATGAAAATGTAGTAATTACACCATAAATGCATATTATTAAAGTCTACGGCCCCACTTTATATTAAGTGGCTTGAAAGCACAGGTTGCACTCTTGCTGCTTCCTCTCTCACAAGAGACATCTAATAGGGGAATTCCCCCCATTTAAAAAAACGAAATTCAGGCCCTGAACAAATGTCTAAAAATCCTCATTGGAGTATCACTATAAATAGTTATAAATGATAAAAAGAAGGCTTTAAAAAGATCGGTATCGGCAGATACTGCTTTCTGCAATCGGCGATCAGTGATCGGCCTCAAAAATCCTTATCGGAGCACACCTAGCTTTGAGCCAAGAATGTTTTAACACAAGTCAATTCTTAGCAGCATTTTTAAGAGTAATTCTCAGAGGCTTGATAAATACGGGCACAGGTGTACGCGCTGAGAAAAAAGTGCACGTCAGAACAGCACATGAATGAGATGTTTAACCAGCAAGAATTTATAGCACATACAAATAATGTACTTTTGTGATTGTGAATAAGTGCAGTGTCCCGTGAGTGTAACTCTACCGCTGAGTTAACATTTGATGTGAATGTATGTCGCGTTGAACAGTATTCAGACGCAGGTGCCAGGACTGATAGAATGTGCGCTGTACAGGAGCACAATACTACGATATTTCTTCAAAAGCAAATCGTGGAGACATTTTAATCGCCCACGATCAAAAATCGTCATATTGCACACCCCCTACCTCCATGTCATCCAAGATGTTCTTTCTTTCTTCAGTCACAGAAGTTAAAGTTTTTGAGGAAAACATTCCAGGATTTTTCTCCATATAGTGGACTTCAATGGTGGCTAATGATTTGAAGGTCCAAAATGCGGTTTCAATGCGGCTTCGAAGGGCTCTAAACGATCCCAGCCTAGGAATAAGAGTCTTATCTAGCGAAACGATCGGTCATTTTGCCTGCCCACGAAATACGAACAGAGTCTGACCTGCCCACAAACACTTCCGCTAGTTAGTGTGTTTACATCATGTTGAGAAGACGCTGTGTTCAAGGATACCACAGAAATACAATTCAAACCTTTTGTTGTGTGCTTGTCATTTTACCCAGGACTGCTTCTCTAATCTTGGCTTTTTTATCTTCGTTGGCTTATAATCTTCTTTATTTGGACTAACAAGCGTCTTCGAACCACAACCTGTAAGTACGATTGATACGTTATGTGTACATTTTCAATTGAGTGCTCAAAATATCAAGTTTTTGTGCTAATATGTGATGTATACCTAGTGCAGCTTTAGGTTTCCAGGTAAAGCACGATATTAGTCTTATTGAAGTAGTTCTGATAATTCGCTGTGAACCTAAGAATGTGTCGATGAATGTAGACTGACGTTCTAATTACTTCGTTTAAAAATAAAGAATGTAGTGTAGCGAACAGACTCTATAATCATTGTGAAATTGCTGTTTATTTTGCTGCACCGGCAGTTATAGGGTTAATGCGGGAGAGACGAGCGAGTTAGTTAGGCTGGTGCTCCTGTGATACTGTTCTGCATTCTGATTAAAAGTTAAGACAGAGCGTCTTTTGTCTGTC